CATCATCCACATCAACTATAAAGCTATTATTTTCTGAGTTATTGGCTTTTAAGACCACATTTTTATCCTTCTTTTTGTCACATACATTTAGAAGTATTTTACTCACATATCACTCATAATCAATGAGAAAGCCAAGTATATTATCAATAAAATAAACATTTAAATCTTCAGATTCATAAATTATAGTGACTTTAACATCTTAGTTACTAGGTAGACGATTGTTAACTTTCTCAAAGCTTAAAAGCTCTCAACCTAAAGCATGCAAGGATGTCACTATTTGAGTATACCTAGTGTACATATCTGATATAGTTTCATTATGTTTAATGCAAAAAGTTTATAATTATGCAATAAAATATTCAACTTAGATATTTAAACTTCACTAGTACCTTTGTACATAATGTATAGTTTATCCCAAATGTCCTTACCAGTGAAATTGGTAGAAATTCTCATGTAATCTTTAGAATTAAATGCATAAAAAAGCAGTTTAAACATTTTGGATTTAGTTGAGCCAAGTCTCTATCCTCATTACTCCATTCAATAAAAATTATCTCTACTTTAACTCCATTAAAGAATCTAAAAGGTGTAGAGTATCCCTCTAGAATTATATGCCACATGAAGAATTAAATTGATTGCAACAAAGTAAACATTCAGATTTTCCAAAAATCAATTGAAATATTATGGAAATATTATGAAATGACAATGGGTGATTTATAGAATAAACCTCTGTATTATTTCAATTTTCATAATATGCCATTTGGTATTTTCTCAGAGATTTTTAAATCACATTTCTGAGATGAGCTCCAATGCTAAATAAAAGTTCAATTGAGGGTGTTAAGCCTCGTTGAACTATCCCTAGGCACACAAAGAGAGGGGGGCAGTGAATTGATAATTTAAAAAAAAAATCTTTTAAACATAAATAAAAGTCCTTATGATATTTTTACAAAATTTGAAATAAATAGTTTGATCACTCAATATGGAAGCGAATGAAAATAATTACAATTAAAGTGATGATGATAATTTAATCAAATCAATCTAACATCAATCATAATATTTTTAACATGTATATTTTGAGAAAATAAATTACAAAAGAGTAAATTGCAAAAACTAAAATATGGAAATAAAATAAAAACGAGCACACCAGAATTTTATAGTAATTTGGTAAAATAATGACCTGCATCCACTCCCAAGTGTCCTCCTCTCCAGGTATTAAACTAACTATTAATGTCTCTCTTTTTTTTTTTCCCACAGAAAGACAGAAAAGCCCTTATAAGAATCACTTCCACCAACTCGGTGCGGTGACAAATTGGAATCCTTTCACCTCTATGGTGAGGCAACAAACCTTGGAAGTTCTTTTCACCGACTTGGTGAAGGAAGAAAACCTAAAAGCTTTTTCACCCTCTTGGTAAATGTAGAGTACCTCGACCTTTGACCTTGAAGCCTTTCTTCCAAGAGTAGCCCTTGCAAATTCTCAGAGCCCTATGGAAGAATCAAGGTGCAAGTTTGCTCAGAGCGACTGTGTGAAAATGTTCACATTACTTCTCCTCTAACAAAACTCACATTATCCTTCTCCAGTCTCTAAGGTCTCTCACAGCTCTATCAAAGAATTCATTCAACAACTAAAAGTCTCTCTAAGAAAATATTAATAAAAAGATTTAAATACCATGTCTCCAAAAATCTTAAAATTTAAATTCAGCCAAAACTATTCATACAATTCGATTAATGATCGTATAATATAATTAGTTCAAAAATCATATAATATATAGTACGATGGAACAACCCCTATACAAACTATTTAAAACCTATATTTGGATCATATAGTATGATCAGTTTAATTATTTTATGATCGTAAAAGATGATTTTTGAAATGATTGAAAATCCTCTCCACCAATCGTTTAGTACGATTGACATCAAACCATATGATTAGTTCAAAAGTTAAGTTTTTCTTTTTCATCTTTATCTATTGTACAATACAATACACATCATGTAGTATGATCGACCAAATTAGCTAAACCCTGATTTGATCGCTAAATCATAGGGATTAAATCAAGTAAAATTTTAAATATCATACTGTACGAGCGACACCATTTATTATGATCAGTTCAAAGATAAAAAAATTAAAATGCTTGGGTAATTTTGAGTACCGGTTAGGGTTTTTATTTTACATAGATCGTATAATACTATTACTTTAAGAACGTTCTTTAAAAATTAGTTATTTTAAATCATTTCAAAAATAATAGATTGTATAGTACGATCTGGATTTTATTGTAAGATTTGTTCAAAATTCTAAAGCTTATTTTGTCACTCCCCTGTGTGTGTGTGCACAGTCGCAATAATAGCAGACACCTTTAGCAAGACTTCGTCTCAAGAAATTTAAAAATAAATGAAATAAAATTACAAACTCCAGCCAACCATATTCATATTCTATACAAGCACGAGCCCTAAATCTTCTTGCTTAGTGTATGACGTATCTGAAATGTTAGTGCATACAAAAATATATATGCAATAGAAATAGTAGGATAAATGAAAATATAATAAATAATATTTGTAATTATCAAAATCACAACCATGGGATCCTATATTGAAATATAGATTTCAGTTTGACGTGCAACATCATGAAATTACCTACTTCTAGGTGTGAAAGCTAAATCTAGAGACTTTTATAACATAGTAATTCTATAGTATAATATCCAAGATATATCATTCTACCAACATTACTCTAAAGACTACTTTATCTATTACAAATATCCTACAATCTGCTTCATTTGACAATATTTTATTTGGTGTTGAATAAGAAATAAGTATAATTTTATATATAGAGATAACTTTTCTTGTAATCCTAACATGTGCAATATTGGCTTTCTGCTTCCTTATAGAAACTCAATCATGGTGCTCATTGCTCAGAGTAATAAAAATAGGAGGTTGAAGAGGCTACTATTGATACCATAAGCTAAAGAGAATCTATTATGAATAGAAGGGAATAAGACTTTCATTATGGGAAGATGGAAAAGAAGATAAACTTGTGCATCCCATGGATGTCTAAAATTTTGAAATTAGAGATATGTGGTGTCCTTAAGATAACTTTAAACCTAATGAAAAAGATAAGAGTGAGTTGATAGCTCATATCCATACAATGATATTAGGGATTCTATGACTAAGTCATGTTGTGATTAGATAAGTTTAATTCAAATTTTATAGTTTGCGATGCTTTATCCAAAAGTTAGAGAAAGATATTATATTAGTAATAGATTGTATTAGTCTAGTCGGATAGTTATGGCTCTTAGTTTTTTGGAAGAGAAGGTCTAGTGATAATATTATCATATGTGATATTAAATTTTTAGATTGCCCACATAGTTCACCTACAAAACTCAAGGAAGGCTCTTTCCCAAAGATATATGGGTGTTAAAGAGTAAAAGGGGAAGATATGTTTGTTCTTTTCATATGAGAGATTTCAAAAGGAGGTATAAATGAAGATAATGACGGATGTAGGAATATTATATTTCATCTGAATAGATATAAAATTGCGCATGAGAAGTCATATTGTTATAGTTAAATTTAAAGAAAATAACGAATGTGTCAAACTCCTATAAAGAATGAGTTCCTTAAGGTTAAATATAAATGATGAAACCTTGAACATTATGTACATTTATATTTTCTAAATATTAAAGTAAAAAAGAATTTCTTTATAAAAAATGTGCCATAATATTATTTTAATTATTAAATTTTAATCATAGTGAATGTCGAAATAATTGAAAATATATTAAAAATGGTTTGCAAGAGTTCATCATGCTAATTTTGAATATTTTGAAATTTTATTTTCAAATCGCAACAAGTAAGTATTTGGCTAACTGCTTTTAGGGCTGCAAACGAACCGAGCCGAGCCGAGTATGTGAGTGTTCTTGTTTGTGTTCATTTAATATCAGCTTGTTCAAGTTTGGTTCATGTTTGTTCGAGCTTTAGCATTTATGTTCATGTTTGGTTCATTTAAATTAAGGAGTGTTCATGTTTGGTTCATGTTCAGTTCATGTTCGTTCGTTTAATGTTTATCGAGCTTGTTCGCGAACATATTTAACGAATTTTTTTAACTATCAAACAAACACGTTCATGAACATATCTATGAACAACTACATTTATAATAAAAGCAATGGGGCGGAACCAGCCTTTTATCTCAGGGGGGCAAAATTTTCTTATTAATAGACAAATATAAAAAAAAAACAAAAAAACAAAATGAGGACATAATTCAAAGTGAAATCTTGTATTCCAATATGATAGAAAAATTGAAAATTATTACAATTTTATCAATCTATTTTGCATTTTTTGATAATATTGGACTACATCTTCATTAGGAATCAAATCAAATACATCTTTTTCAATGTAAGGCACAAGACAATCATTGAGCCAATCATCACCCATCCTACTACGCAATCGATGCTTGATAATTTTCATTGCTGAAAATGCTCTCTCCACTGTAGCAGTAGCAACTGGTAAAGTTAATGCTAAAGTAATAAGTCTGTAAGCTAGAGGATACACATCATTCTTCTTGAACTTAACAATCTTCTTTTCAAGATCAACAATGCTTCTTAGAGAGGAGAACTCTTCACTGGTCCGCATATCAATAATATAAGTTGATAATTGATTTTTAAGAAAAACAATCTCAATTATAGAAAAATCACTTGGATATAACTCTACTAGACATATCAACTTCCCCTCATCATAAGCATGAAAAGAATCACTTGGGTTTAAGCATGACACACAAAGTAGTAGCTCTGTACTTGATTCAGAAAATCGATTATTTAGCTGTCAACTACAGTATAAAATAAATCGGCACGATAATGATGTAGATTTGTTATTTCTTCACCTCTTCGCACTGCTCGACGTCGAGTTTTGTATGTTTCATTCATGTTTGGAACAACAACTTCAAAAACACCACAAAATCATGACACTTCGGCTAGTAAAGCATTCCATCCATTCTCCCTTAGTAGTTATAATCGTTGTTTAGATATTTAAACCAACTTCATCGCATTTTCAATGTCTTGATCTTTTCTTTGTAATGATTGCGATAACTCATTCGTAATACCCAATATATCAATCATCAAATGCATTGTAAAAATAAAATCAAAAGACTCCATTGTATCAATCAGAACACTCGCTTCAACCGATTGCTGATCATGAACCCCTTCTTCCTTAACAATCTCTAGGACTTCAATCACAGAAGCATACATACGCATGATACTAATCAAAGAATATAAATGTGAACTCCACCTAGTATCACTAGATTTCTGTAAATTAGTCTCTTGATTCAAACCTTTTCCACTCATGAGATTGCCATTTTTAAGATGAAGAAGGACTTTATCATGCTGAATACTTTTAAGAGTATCTGATCTCTTACAGGAAGCTCCAACAGTATTAATAATTCTAGAAGTGAACTCAAAGAGATGCTTTACTTGCCAGTTATTCTTTGCCACTACTACCAAACATAATTGGAGTTGATGAGCGAAACAGTGAACATAAAATGCTTGAGGATTATCATTTAGAATAAGGGCCTTAAAACCATGAAATTCCCCTCGCATATTGGATGCCCCATCATAACCTTGACCACGTATCATTTGTATGCTCAAAGAGTGTTTAGCTAGAATGTCTTCAATGGCTGCCTTTAGTGTAATTGCATTAGTGGATGTGACATGTTTGATACCTATAAATCTTTCAATCACTTGGCCCAACTTATCTACATATCTCACAGCAATAGCAAGTTGTTCCTTTGTAGAAACATCACGGGATTCATCAACTATAATTGAAAAGTATGAGTTACCAATATCTTTCATGATATATCTTAAAGTTTCAGCTGATGCAGCAATACATATTTCTTTCTGGACTTTTGGTGAAGTTAACTTCAGATTTGAGCTAGCATATGCAGATGTCACTGTCTTAATTTCTTCATTATGATCAGTTAGAAAGTCAAATAGCTCTAAATAATTTCCTCGATTATCTGAATTGGAAGACTCATCATGACCATGAAATGACAACCCCTGACGTAACAAAAATCTAACACAATCAATGGCTGCAGTCAACATGATCCTATATTCCTTTTTGTTCTTATCATCTTTGCTTAACCATAAAGCAGGAAGACTGTGTTCTTGTTTTTTCATCAAATCTTCACATTTTTGTCTAGCCTTATTATGTATGCTATTGTGATCTCCAATGTGACATAATAATTTCTCTTTCTTCTTCCAGTTTCTAAAACCTTCTCCAATAAATGAATCCCCACCACCTTGACCTTTAATGATTTGCTCTTGAGGTTTAAATAGATAACAGTAAAGACAAAAAATAGCATCTTTTTGCACACTGTACTCTAACCAATCAGAGTATTCATCAAACCATTTCGAATTGAACCTACGTGCAATATTTCCATATAAAGTTTGAGGAAATTGATAACTTCTCGGTTGATGAGGTCCCTTCAAGAGATAAGATCTCCGAATCTTATCTCTATCATTAACATCATAACTCCAAATAGGAAGTCGGAGTCCTGGATCTGATGCTAGATTATTAATATCAATTTCTACTCGCTCTTTTCTCTTTAAATAAGGCTCCATTATTTAACCCTAGAATGAAATTTATTACCAAGAAAAAGCAACCGTCAATCAAAATATTTATATCATAATAAACAAGTATGCTTATACAATAGAAACTTCAACTTAAACATTAAAAACTATGCTATGCTTATTTTAATAGATTATACAATTAAATGCAATTAAGTATCATACAGGCTACATGGAAAATTGAACTTCCTATTTCGTTGTGAAAATCGAATGTGTCATTTAAGGATTTAGTAAAGTGATTTACCTCTTTTGGAACAAAACATTTAAGAGCTGCCAGCTCTTGCCCTGCACTAACATCCCACTCGAGCAAAGGGAAAGTAAATTGTTCTATGAAGACCATGGTTGCTACTATCTACTTTATAGTTTTAAATTTATTGAAGCATCTGAATCTTTTGTGTCAAAAATCAAAGTCCTTTGTGGTCTAGTGCTAAACTGAAATGCAGGTTTTTTATAGTTGTTCCATATAATTATCACATTCAGTTGGAAACACATTGACCTCAAAAAGACCACAAGGTGAATTGAGCAGGGTAAGTGCTCTATCAATGTAGCTGTAATTGTTGCAATCAAATTCTTTAATCAATTCAATGGCTGAAGCTGGATTTTTGAAATCGGGCAAAAGTGTAGCAGCTTTCTCAGCAAGTAAATTCATGTTAAAAAAATTTCATTTTAGTGCTAAAAAAATTTCATGTTGTTCAGTCTTATAACTTATAAGCCTAAATAAGTTGAGCAAAGAGCCAAAGAAATTGTCTTTCTGCAAAAGAACAAACTAATTGTTCGCATTTGAAGGATGAAAAATTGTAGAATCAAAAAATCTCTTCTTTTAGTTTCTAACATCGATGGAAATCTGTGATCAGTTTTCTCAAACCAGACAGACTTTCATTTAAGAGATTGATTATTGATCTTTTTTTTTTCTTTTATAGGTTTCTCTCAGCCAGGAGAGGATCTGTTTTTCGGAAGAAGCAAAGAAAACAGCGAAAGAAGCAAAGAAATGGGCGAAAGAACGGAAGAAATGTTGCAGCCCTAACTGCTTTCAATAAGTCTCGGTATAATATAATTATGTTATAAATTTTTTTTAGCGGAAACATCTACACAATATATATATATATGAACTTTTTTTATTGAATATTCGTTTCAAATCGCAACTAAATTGATATTTGGATAACAGCTTTGAATTTTCACTAGGGTTCAGAATATTAAAAAAATTCTTAATATATATAATCGCTTACAATTCTTCATATATAACTTTAAACAACGCAGCTAGAGCTGTCATACAGATTTATTGAATCGAACCATCGAACGGCTAATGAAAGAGATTGAACTTGAGTCAGAAATTATAAACAAAAACCTATAAACGCGTGAAGACCATTGACTTCCAACGAAAATCGAATCCTTAATCAGCACGCCTCTCCTTATTCCTCCTATCATCTTCAAAGCCCAGATTATCCTACACAGCAATAGTAATTAATTACAAACCCATCCAATTAAATCATAAACCTCCTACCTAAACCATCATCATCTTAAACTCCTCAAAGCTTAAAACTCCATCTCTATTAACATCAAACCTACTTATCATCATCTCACATTCTTCGACTGTCCTGCTCTCTCCCAATCTCTCCAACGCCGCCCTCAAACTTCTAGGAGTGATGATTCCCTCTCCTTCAAACTCATATACCCTAAATGCCTCCTTCAAGTTATTTCGCTTCTCTTCGCCCCCTTCGCTGTTTGCTAGCTTCATGAAATCTTCCAATCCAAGCATTCCATCTCCATCCGAGTCGACCGATTCAACCGCAGCCTTGGTTTCCTCGATCGTCAGATCCTCCCCTAAGGCAAGCATGTAGTTCCGGAGCTCAGTCGGGGAGATCTTTCCGTCGCCATCTTCATCGAAACGCGACATGATTCGAGCCATGTCGACTTCTTGTTCTACTTGGTTTGCTGGAGATGAGAGACGTGGGATGGGCTTGGGAACTTGAAGCTGAGTCTGCTTGACCGTCGTGATTTCCTTTTTGCGAGGCAGCATGGAAAAAAATTTGTGGAGAAAGGAATGGTTCTGATTTGATGCTGTGGCTTCTTTAAAAGTTTTTTTGATGACTACTGTGGTAGCCATATATGCGAACGTTAAGAGAAAGGGATCAAGAGACGGGGATAGCTGATTAGTAAGAGGTTGGCTATTGTTAATTGGCATGCAGCACGGGCGGTTTGGGTGTTTTGAAAGATGGTTTCCAGTTTCGATGCTTATGTTATAATTAGGACAACGATTATTTATATAGTCGGACATGAAAGAACTTGAGAACCTTCGTTGAAGTTACAAGTATGGCAAAGATTAGAAGTACACACATATGTTGATCAACAGAAAAATCGAAGTCGTTCTTTCATCCATTAAATTCTAAATATAAAAGTAATTATGAAGTTATATTATTATTTTTGTAGAAGTGTAAAATTTTTTTCTATATTTTTTATTTTTAATCGTAACGTCTACATCACAAACTGGCTAAAGATAAAATTCGTCTCCGTTTTATATCAGAATGATTTTTTAATTATTTTAAGAAATAGCAGCTAAAAATTTATGATAGAAGGCAAAAACTTTTGGAAAATATTTGTCTTGTGCTTATCTTGATTTGGCACGAATCTTGAGGCAAACATGAGTTGGAGTCATCAAATATTAAAATCAGAACCCTTCGAACTTCGATTTCAGCAAGCTTATAGTTAAATTGAACAACTCGAGGAGATAAAGACAGAAAGAAACAGGTGAAAGAGACGAAAGGAGAATAGAAAAGTATTATTAAAGATTGTCTATTACAACAGTAGGATATAGCCTCTATATTTATAGATAAACTAGGTAGTATAACAGAAGTGAATGGCAGAGAATATGCCATGTGTTTAAATAGTATTGGTTGACGCTTTGTGTTTATTGAGCTGCTCTTTTAGCCCCTCGCAAACTGATGGTGAAGGCTGAACTGTCAGTTTAGATCTGAATAAGTGAAACCGAGGTGTGGAGAGTGGCTTGGTGAGAACATCAGCAATTTGATCTTGAGTAGATATGGGAACAATTCGGATGACTTGAGCTTGGATGTGGTCCCGAGTAAAGTGAACATCGACTTCAATGTGCTTGGTTCTGGCATGGAAGACAGAGTTGTTGGCGAGGGCGATGGCGGACATGCTGTCACAATGAATGTTGGTAAGCTTGTCTTGTATGATGTGAAAGTCGGACAGTAGCCTTCTGAGCCAAATAACGTCAGCGGTGGCCGATGCAAGTGCACAATATTTAGCTTCCGTCGACGAGCGAGCAACAGATTGTTGTTTCTTAACTGTCCAAGAAATTAATGTCTGTCCAAGAAACGAGCAGTAACTAGAGATAGATCGGCGAGTGGTGGAATCAGATGACCAATCGGCATCAGAGAATGTTTGAAGATGAAGAGAGGATTTGGATATAGGTATACCAAAGTTAAGAGTACCACAAATGTAGCGAAGAAGACGTTTTAATTGAAGAAAATGTTGAGGTAAGGGATTGTGGAGATGTTGGCAGAGTTGATTGACGGCAAATGAAATATCTGGTTGAGTTATAGTTAGATATTGTAGAGATCCGGTGAGTTGACGATAGACAGTAGGATCCGAAAGAGTTGAATCAGTGAGAAGGCTGACGGGTGCTTTGGTATAGGAGGGATTAGAGATCGGTTTGCATTTAAGAATACCTTCTTGTTGAATGATAGCCTCAGCGTAAGGTGTCTGTGAGAGATGCATAGAGTTGGAATGATGAAGGATATTAATGCCGAGGAATCTGGATGGTTTCCCTAAGTGTTTGATAGAGAATTTTTTGCTGAGTGAGGCAATTATGTGAAGAAGAGATGTAGGATGATTATTCGTAAGAAGGATGTCGTCAACGTAAATGAGCAGGTAGGCTTGATTGTTGTTGTGATGATAGGTGAAGAGTGAGGGATCTACATTGCTTTTCTGAAAACCAATATTGAGGAGAGCTTGAGAAAAGGTTTGGAACCATTGACGAGGAGCCTGTTTTAGTCCGTATATAGATTTGCGAAGAAGGCAGACGTGAGTCGGGTGTTGCATATCTTAAAAACCATGAGGTTGTTTCAAAAAGATTTACTCATGAATTGGGCCGTGGAGAAAAGCGTTAGTGACATCAAGTTGGTGGATAGGCCAATCGTGGTGAAGAGCGATGGTGAGAAGCACCCTGATGGAGGGAAATTTGGCCACGGGACTAAATGTTTCTTTGTAATTTAAGCCGTATTCTTATCGGTTACCTTGAGCAACAAGTCTCGCCTTGTAACAATCAATGGAACCATCAGTGTTCATTTTAGTTTTGTAGGTCCAGCGAGAGCCAAGAATGGGAGCATTGATAGGAGGGGAAACAAGATTCCATGTTCCTTATTGTTGAAGAGCAAGGAATTCAGATGCCATAGCTGCCCGTCATTGAGGATATTTAAATGCATCAATAAAGGATGTGGGAGTTAGAGGAATTGGATTGAGTTGATGTTGAAGGTTGAGCTGCTGTCTAGGCTTGAGGGAACCGGTTTGCAGCCGAGTAGTCACAGGGTGTTTGGAATGAATAGGAAGAGAAGGAAGCGGGATAGCAGGAGATGGCTTAGACATTGGAGTTGCGTTAGATGGTGTGTGCTAAGAGGAATGAGGTGCGCTGATTGCTGTAGATTGCTGAAGGGAACTACTGTTATTCGTGGGAGTTGATACAGGATGGGAAGTAGGGGAGAAATGTGATATGAGAGATGTTGGTACAAGCAGGTTGGAATTAGAAGAGATGTTAGTGGGAACATTGGTGGAAGGACCAGATTTGGAGGAGTAAGGGAATGTAGATTCGTCGAACGTGACATGACGCGATATAGTAATAAGACATGAGATGAGATCTAGACATTTGTATCCATTGTAGTTAGTAGCAAAACCAAGAAAAACAAAGTGAGGAGATTTGATGTTAAGTTTGTGTCTAGTGTGAGATGGTTGAAGAGGAAAGTAGGAACAACCGAATACCTTGAGATGAGTATATATCAGAGGTTGGTTTAGAAGGAGTTGACGAGGAGACAAGTTGGATGTATTGGGAGAGGGTAATAGGTTTATTAAGTAAGCGGCCGTGAGGAGATCGTCAGGCCACAGATGGAACGGAAGATTGGCTGAGGTGAGAAGAGTGCGAGTAGTTTTGATGATGTTCATGTGCTTTCTTTCAGCAAGGCCGTTTTGCTCCGGGGTATAGGGGCAGCTGAGTTGATGCGTGATACCGTGATTTTGAAGATAGGTTTGAAGATTATGATTAGTAAATTCTGTGCCGCCATCACTCCGTAGATATTTAATTTTACGACAGTATTTTTTCTCAACGACTTTATGAAATTTGATAAAGGTATTATAAACGTCAGATTTGTGACGAAGTAAAAATATCCAAGTATATCTTGATGCATCATCAACAAATACGACATAATACTTGAAACCTTGAGTAGACGGAACTGGTGCAGGTCCCCAAACATTTGTGTGGATAAGCTCAAGAAGTTTGTATTTATGATTAGTGGAAGAAGAAAAAGTAAGTTTGTGACCTTTTGAGGTCTTACAAGTTATACAATTCGAACAAACTACAAGAATATTGAGTGATTTATTCCTCTTTGATATGGTAGCAAGACCTTGAGCGTGCGGATGGCCAAGGCGATAATGCCATCGAAGATTCAAAGAAAGAGTAGCGGTCAGTGCTTGATGAGCTTTGGATTGATTCTTAATGGAGGCGCAGATCGGATAGACTCCGTTACGGCACGGACCCGAGAGAAGAATCCTGTCTGTCTTCGGATCCTTTATGAAGAAGCCAGAGGAGTTAAAATAAATTGACAAATTGTGACCGCGAGCAAGCTTAGAAACTGAAAGAAGATTGTGAGAAATATTAGGATGAAAAAGAACTTTAGGCAGAGTTAACATACGATGAGGAATGGGTAGGAGGCCACGACCGGAGTGAGAGATGGGAAGAGTGCGTCCATCACCGATTGCAAAGTTATCAGAGCTGCTGCACGCTTCTATGTTGCTGAGTTGATCAAGATTGTTGGTCAAGTGTGAAGAAGCGCCTGAGTCAAGGATCCATTCGGAGAGAGTGGCTGAGTTTGAAGCAAGAAGAGCAGTAGAGGATGAGTTCGTTGTAGGTAGCTGGTGTAATATCAAAAATCTGCTCCAGGATCGTCCAGGACGATCTGGATCGTCCTGGGACGATCGGTTGTAATTTTGCTCCAGAATGTGCCCAGTTTTGCTCCAGGTGATTTTCTGTACATATCGTCCAGGCCGATTTGGACATCGTCCAGGACGATTGGCACTGTAGAAAATATCGGCCTGCGAATAGTTCTGGGAACCGTCCAGGACGATCCAAAATGGTCTGATCGTCCTGGGACGATTTGGCGATCGGCCGGGCCGATCTGTGTATTATAAAGCTGATTTCAGTCGTTTTGAAGAGAGAGAAAAATCAAAAAAATAAAAATTAAAATATCTGAGGAGAGAGAAAGTCGAGAGAAATTTGGGAAAAGTTGATTTTGGATGACGCGGAGCCGTTTTCGTCCGAAGAGACTGTTCAGGATATTGCTGTGCGC